TTATTAATTGATGATTTGTCAAAGACATTTTCTAAATTGTACCAAATATCTTCATTATTAGATAGTAATGATTTTAATGATAATAATGACATTGGATTGTGCGAAAATGAAAACGGCTCTTTTACAAAAAAATTCCCTTCCTCCTCATACTGCGACAGAACTTGCCCACTGATTTGCCTCATTCCCAAAGGCTCAGCTGAGAGGCAAAGATCCCCTATAAGCCTGAAATTTTTGCAGGCTTCTTTCCAAAAACAAATGAGTGTAATGATCGCCAGTAACAATGTTTCATACAATACATAACCCGAGCAACTAAATAATCTCCGTTACTAAAGGAAAAAAAACACAGAAATATCGTGAAATGCTCGACTCCCTTCTGGAACTTTCACATCTATTTCATTTTCCTCTCACGTTCTATCTGATTATGCGTGTCACGGTAATTCATATGAAAATATCATAATCCCACCACTGCACACACCAGTGGGAACCTTCGAGGACGTTACCTGTATTTAGCAGTTACCATAAAATATTCAATCTTGCATAAGTTGCAATACTAATTGTTATACAAATAGTGATGATGATGAATATGACGATGACGATGACGATGACGATGGCGATGACGACGCTGATGATAGCCGTAAAGAAGGGTCTTTAGCTTATAAACTCCTCATTTACAAGTATTACGCACATTTTCAAAATATCTTTTCGGAAACTACATGGGGTCGTAGTTTTCAATATCATGATTTGAGATGCCATACTTCAGGAATCAAGAATTTAATATTTTTTTAATTAAAATTTGTGGACCATTGCAAATATTTCTTATATTGTTGTTGGCTTAGTTTCTAGTGTAAAGAGTCTGTCTCGCACGTGTACCAGCCTTTTTTCTTATTGATTTTGTTATCACGGATGTATGTTTAAATTATTTTTCTTACTGACAGGTGGGATGGTCAGGTTATTGGCGCGCAAATCGTAGGGAACAAAGATGAGAGAATTTGAAATATCTCCCTTGCAAGATCTTTGCCTTTAAAGCCAAGAAATTCACAAACAATATACTGGGGAACTCTTTTTTATTAATAGCTGTGCTCTAAGTTTCCAATATCAACTATGCCAAAGTAACAGCTTTGAATTTAAGTATCCGTGTTGATATAACGTAATAACCTTTTGTTCGAGTATCTAACGACAATTTTTTTTTAATAATAATGAATGTAATTAACTTCCCACAACACATCGACATTGCTGCCATTTCATGAAAACCTTTTTGACACTTATCTTCCATTTCAAGATGTTTTTAAGAAAATGTTTCTTTTTCAAATGTCACCAGCTCATTGTAAGTGCCCGTGTTATTTTTTACCGATGGTTGATTAGCGGCTAAAACAATTCAAAATTCAACGGAAAGACCATAGGTCAAACAGACACCTTTTTTAGCTTGTGGAAACGATATCTTTCTGTTCTTCTTCACAAGTATATCTACGAAATACATAACGTACTTTTCTTATCAAGAACAGACTGTCAAAGCCTATGGTATAAATTATTATTACAGAAACAAAGGGAAAACTATTTCGTTATTCAAACTCTTAAGCAGTATGTATAGCTTATACACCAAAAAGGACCATTTTATAAAACTAGCATTACCCTCGTGAGATGAGATATTTGTAACTATATTCTACCATGCCAAATAAACTTTTTCTACTCAAGGAACGTAACAGTGATTT